TCAAGGTGAGTAGTTGGGCTGCCAATTTGGCCCACTAGGGTTTGTAATATATATACAAGAGGCTACTGCTCTGCTCTTTCTCTCTTCTCCTCTCCTGGCTGCTGCTCTCGTCTCCTCTCATGGCTGCTGCTGCTCTCCTCTCCTCTATTGGCTATTGCTGCTCTCTTCTCCTCTCCTGGCTGCTACTTCTGCTCTCCTCTCCTCTCCTGGCTGCTGCTGCTCTCCTCTCCTCTCCTGGCTGCTGCTGCTCTCTTCTCCTCTCCTGGCTGTTGCTGCTCTGCTCTTTCTCTCTTCTCTCCTGTGCATGACGGCTGCTGCTCCACACGCCTCCAGTCTTCCCCGTGTGCCTCCAGTCGCCGTTCTTCGTGATGAGCTGCTCCGACGACGGTATGTGCCTTTCCCCTCTCCATCTTCTTCCCTCCTCCCCCATCCCTCACTTTGCAGCCTCTCTGGCTCTCTGCTAGGTTGCTTGCTGTGATGTACTTTTGTCCCTCTGCTATTCTCTGGCTCTCCATCATCCATCCTAAGAAGTTGTTCTTCTGCAGATGTGGACCGACGATGTGCAAATGTGGAAGTGTACATGCCTCCGCCTGACCTTGAAGGAGGTGTTCCAGATTCATTAGTTGGGTCAGATCCTGCTGCCACGGCTTCCTCATCTACTCTAGAAGATATTCCTTCCCTAATTGAGAGGGCTATAGCAAAACTACCTCCAGATCTTGCTGCCCATGCTGTTGACACAAAGAGAAAGGCAAGATCTCAAGACCCAGGATGGAAGTATGGGTGGTGGCCAGATCCTTCTGTCGATGCGGGACCCATAAGGTTTCCCACGGAGAAGAGAGAAGAAAGCCTAGTCCAAATAGGATTCTCTACATGTAATCCTACTAGGACTAGTTACACGTAATCCTACTAGGATCTCTACTTTATAACCGACTAGGACTCCCGCCTCTCCTGGACTATATAAAGGAGGGCAGGGAGCCCTAGATCGGCACCTACACAAGAGATCACGATTTCTACAACTTCAACATCACACAATCAATACAACGCAAGGGCTAACGCCGACTGGACGTAGGGCTATTACTCGACCACAGTCGAGGGCCTGAACCAGGATAAATCGACTGTCTCCTTGCGTTTACCGTTGAGTTCCTGCAAACGCCGATACTCCTCCGAACAAATCACCGTCCCGGGTACCCCGTGACGGGTTGCCGGTGGTAAAACATCGACAGCTGGCACGCCAGGTAGGGGTTCTCGGCGCTTTGCGTTCGAGAGCTTGGTGGACCTCAAAATCAAGATTCGTCGCAGCACTCGTCGGCCCTCATCGACAACTCACTACGGCTTAGAAGACCTTAAGAACAACTCACCGCGGCACTCATCGGCTCTCTTCGACAACTCGTTGCGGCTCTCGTTGGCCTCATCGACAACCCGCCATATTCACGTTCAGCATCGGCATCAATTCGTGCGAGCACGAGACCTCTTCGTCAACATCTACTCCGACTTCGTCAACTCAGCGAGATCCCAGCAGAAGCGCGGCTGTATCACGTTCCTACTACACGCCAACCAGCATCAAACATGCCTGATACGAGTACAAGTCAGACTGCAACTCAGACTCCATCACAACTCAGCTATATGCGGATTCAAGTCCAACTCCGACACAAGAAGAGTCCTACTCCCACACGAAGCCAACAACGTGCGGGCCAATTATGAAGCAACACATCCAAGCGATATACAAGCTATGAGATTGGACAGAAAAGGATAACGACATACAAGTCAGTCAGGATATATGGAATCAATGGATCAACCCGTGCATACACGCACACACCCCCGTCTCCAAGTCAACTTCGTATACGAATACATCATGGACATGCAAGAAGCTAACAAAGGAAGCAACCAAGCAAAGCCAAAGGTGTTTGTGCATTGATTTATACATACGACATACTCATATGAGAGAAGGTCAAGAAATACAAGCAATACGGTCAACAAAGAGAAGACCACCTACAACAAGCCGACAAGTCACGAGCAAGCAACCAAATTCTGGGAACCCGACAACATGTTTCGAGTTGTTTCGAGTACTCGACATGACAGTCACTCGTTTGGTTAAACTCATCAGCAAACAACTCGGACGAGCTGTCCGACGACTTCATCATGCTGTTCGACTACATCAAGCAAGTTGTCGACCCCGCCTCCATCAGCTCGGATGCTATGCCAACAACTCGGCTGCAAACTGACTACTTGCCACACCGACCGACAACTCAGCTGCGGTGATCGACAACGCGGCCACGAACCAAGCTAAGTCATGTCTCATTTTTTATATATTTCAGATATTATTCATATATGTCTCTGGGAAGACACAAAAATCATCATGCGAGCAAACATAATGCTCTAAAGTCAAATCATCATGCGAGCAAACATAGTGCTCAAGATACAAAAAAATCATCATGCGAGCAAACATAGTGCTCTAGGTCTTCTCTTAACGGTCGCCGAATTCCTCAGGTAGAACACGCCTTAATCCGTGAAGCTTGTCTACTCACATGGACGGTCACAAACCGAGTGCCAGGCTCACATGGTCACATCATGAACCTCTGAACCATACGCCAGAGATTCAAGTGCTTAAACGTAACAGGACACTACCTGAGGAATTTACATGGCCTAGCAAGAGCAAGACGCAAAAAAAGTTTATATGCATTTTATGATGCCGGGGCCTGCCCCTGATTGATTATTCAAATATGGGACATGCTCCCGACTTCATATCCGGAATGCCATTTACAACATATTTTTATGTTTAACATGCAGGGGAGCTGAGAGCTAGTCTAGAAACAACCTGGTTTGATCAAAAAAGAACCCCGACAAGGTGCGGCAAGAACCAAGACAAGCGCTTAGAAAGAATCCGGAACGATCAGAAAACAACCCTGAAGAGGTGCTGCAAGTAACAAGACAAATTCAGAAAGAACCCGGATTGATCAGAAAACAACCCGGATGAGGTACATACAAGTTCAGAAAGAACCTAGACGAAGTGGACCCACAACCTGGAAGAGGTACATCAAGAACCAGAGAAGTCTAGAAACGACCTGGTTGAATAAAAAACAACTCGGAAGAGCATCACGGCTTAGTAAAAAACTAAGCTCGGGGGCTCGTCATTCGCTTCAACTACGCCCGGGGGCTCGGATTCAAGGATGAAAGACCAAGAATACAAGTACTCAAGACTACAACAACGACAACACATCAAGACCCTTCATCCAATTTCTATTCTAAAGAAAAGTACTCGGAGAAAGCTCGGGGGCTGCGGGATACATAACCCCAAAATTTTTTTTGAAGACAAGAATCTGGACCCTCCAACTTTTGCAAGCAAAAGCAAGAGGCTCGGGGGCTACACTCAGTGAGTGCAATTTTTACGAAAAATTTCACCCACCGAAAAAGAACTCGGAGCAACCAAGAAGACTAAAGGGACCCTCTGGCTTCTTGTCCCAACAAGCAAGAGGCTCGGGGGCTACACTCAGTGAGTGCAATTTTTATGAAAAATTTCACCCACCGAAAAAGAACTCGGAGCAACCAAGAAGACTAAAGGGACCCTCTGGCTTCTTGTCCCAACAAGCAAGAGGCTCGGGGGCTACACTCACTGAGTGCACTTTTGTCCAAAAGTGCACATCAGCCGAAGAAAAGACAAAGAAGACCATCTCAAGATCTTGCTTCAAGAAAGAACCCGGAACAAGTCTACAACAACCTGGCCCTTGAAGCTCAATCATGAAATACTCGGGGGCTTGTCGATGCGGGACCCATAAGGTTCCCCACGGAGAAGAGAGAAGAAAACCTAGTCCAAATAGGATTCTCTACATGTAATCCTACTAGGACTAGTTACACGTAATTCTACTAGGATCTCTACTTTGTAACCTACTAGGACTCCCGCCTCTCCTGGACTATATAAAGGAGGGCAGGGGTCCCTAGATCGGCACCTACATAAGAGATCACGATTTCTACAACTCCAACATCACACAATCAATACAACGCAAGGGCTAACGCCGACTGGACGTATGGCTATTACTCGACCACAGTCGAGGGCCTGAACCAGGATAAATCAACTGTCTCCCTGCGTTTACCGTCGAGTTCCTGCAAACGTCGATACTCCTCCGAACAAATCACCATCCCGGGTACCCCGTGACGGGTTGCCAATGATAAAACATCGACACCTTCCAAGAAGGACTTTGTGCAGTGCATATTTTGTAGGAAGGTAGTCCCATCCGGAATATGCAGATTCAAGCAGCACCTTGCTGGGGGGTATGGAGATGCAATAAAATGTCCTAATACTCCAGTAATAGTTAGGAAGGAGATAGCTGTTTATCTGAAAAAGAGTTCAAGGACTGTTCTTGTGGAGGTACGTGTAGAAGATGAAGATGAACAAGATGCTGCTAGTGTAGAAGAACCTGCAGCTGTACCCGTACCAAGTTTTGGAATAAAAGTTAAGCAAGCCAAGAAGAAGATTGCTCAGGCTGCCATCACTTCTTTCACTATATCTGCTACAGCAAAATCAGCAACTCAAAAATAGTCCAGGTCAATGAGTTCCATGCTTTGCAAGTCACCAGAAGTAGTTGCAGAGAGGCACAAATCCAAGCAAAGTCAACCTACACTTGAGCAGTGCACAAAGAAAAATAAGGAGGCCAAAGTAATTGTTATGATCATGTTGCCGATTTCTTTTATGAGAATCGCATTCCATTGAACGTCATTAATTCAAGAAGCTAGGAAGTTTTGCTTGAGTCAATTGGACAATATGGTCCTGGGTACCGCTCACCATCATATCATGATGTTAGGACTCCGCTGCTTGAAAGAGTTGTGAACAAAACAGCGGAGTTGAGGAAGAAGCATGAGGCGGCTTGGAAGGAATATGGTTGCACCATAATGTCTGATGGGTGGACTGACACAAGCCACCGCCATCTTATCAATTTCCTTGCTAATAGTCCAGCAGGGACTTTCTAGGGTCTGTTGATGCTTCAAGTGAGATAGCAAATGCGAATATGTTGGCTGACTTGTTGGAGAAGCAAATTGATAAGGTTGGGAAGGAACACGTGGTGCATATTGTCACTGACAATGGAGCCAACTTCAAGGCAGCAGGGAGGCTTTTAATGGAGAGGATCCCACATCTATTTTGGACACCATGTGCAGCCCATTGCTTGGATTTGTTGTTGGAGGATATTGGGAAGATCAAGGAATTCCACACTTGCATCAACATGGCACAGAAGGTGACCAGATTCATGTACAAGCATGGGAGGGTTCTAGATCTAATGTGAAATAAGATTGGAGATCTTGTGAGGCCAGCTGTAACTCGCTTTGCCACTTCATTTCTCACATTGGCAAGCCTGCATAAGAACAGGAGTGGATTGAGGAATTTAGTGGTTAGTGATGAATGGCATGCTACCAGTTTCTCTACCACTCAAGAAGGCCGGCGAGTTGAGAACATTATCCTTTCAATGCCATTTTGGAATAAAGTGGAATTATGCCTAAGAGCTTCACAACCACTTCTTGTAGCTCTAAGGATAGCAGATGGAGATGAGACACCAGCAGCTCCTGAGATTATGGCAGCCATGGATGTTGCAAAGGCCGCAATCAAGGATTCTTTGCAACGCAAACCAGATTTACTCAAAGAGGTACTAAAATACTATGATAACAGATGGGAAAACCAAATGGAGCAGCAGTTGTATGGAGCAGCCCTATACTTGAACCCAAGCAAGTTCTTTGCCCTAAAGGAAAAGGATAGGAGACAAGCAGGAAGGCTGAGAATCATGTTTAATCAAGTTATGTGGAAGATGGTGACTGATGATGAGGAGCAGAACAAGATAAGCAAGTAGGCAGAAGACTATGAGAGGGCTGAAGGCGAATCCTTCTCACAACCAGGAGCAATAAGAGACAGAGATAGAAAAATCCTAGTAAGTTCTCTAATAACTATTTCCTTCCCTTTTTTCTAAAAGCAATCAGCAATGAACTAATTAAGTACATTACAGTGCTTTGGTGGGGTGCATATGGTGGCCTCACATATGAGCTCCAATGTTTAGCAAAAAGGATTGTTAGCCTTTGTTGTGCTGCATCTGGATGCGAGCGTAGTTGGAGTGAATTTTCTGTTGTAAGTGCTAGTGTACTACTGCTGAGTAATTAAGTATGGTAGTAAACTAGTAATATTGATATGTGATTCTGCATTATATTTTGTGTAGGTCCATACAAAAAAGAGAAACCGATTAGAGCACCAAAGGTTAAATAAATTGGTATATGTTAGTTACAACCGCAAGATGGAAAACATATTTAAAAAAATTAGAGAGCTGGGATCCAAAGGAAAGATATGCAATCCACTCTTGCTTGATGAATTTCATTGGGAAAATGAATGGGTCAATGAAAATTGTGAACCAGAACAGGAAGGTGGTGGCGATGCTATGACTTGGGCTGTTGTGGATGAGGCTATTGGTGCAACTCAGGGTCTAGAGGGACATAACTTGCCTAGGGCTGCTGCTACTCGTGCTGCTGTTGCTGCCCCTATGAGGCGTACTTATGCTAGGAATAGGAAGCGTCCAAGGAACACAGTGACTCTGACACAAGATATTGATGAAGTTGATGATGAAGACCAAGATCAGCATGTAGATTCAGTAATAGCAATGGAAGAGAATGAAGAATCTACACCAACTGAAACTGGAGATGGACTAACTGGAGATGGAGATGGAGGCTTCACTTTTAATGTTGATTTGCTTAATTAGATGGTTAGTTGCCTACTTTTGTTGGACTGTTAAATTAGATGTCAATGTTTGTGACTGTGTTGAACACTTTAGCAGTTTAGCTTATGTGTACTGAACTTGAACACTTTAGCTTATGTGTACTGAACTTGTTTGCTAAATGCTAGTTATTTGCTACTGCAGCCATGCTTGCTACTGCAGCAGTGCTGCTGTTGAGCTGTGTTAAGATCAAGACTACATTAGTGTTGCTAATTATGGTCTTCTTTGGTATTTTAGGCTTCCAGCAGCAAGTCAGCAAAGAAATAGAGTTTGGGATAGGAATATGGACCTCTGGACATGGTAGAAAAGAGAAGAAAACAACTCCCACAAGTAAGTCACCACCTAAACTCAGTAGGAGATAGAGATGCTCTTGATGCTTGCTTTATTGTGTATACTATATAGTATATATAGGTATATATATAGTAGGTATATATATCCTGATATATAGGACGACCAGGGGTCGACTAGGTTCGACTAATCGTCCTGGTCGACGATTAATCGCGATTAGTCTTCTGGTCGGTCCCATGGCGACTAGGTTCGACTGGACGACTTGAAAACATTGGGAAAGACAACTCCGATTTTTAAGTGAAGACTCCAATTCCATAGGGACCACTGACTGGGTGATCATAAGTCTAATTCCTCCAACTTTAGCAATCTGGTACCCATCCGGAATTTTTATCCAAATAATTGAAAAATAAAGCAAGCGTAAGTACATGACGTACTCAACAAAATATAACATGGGGTTCATGAGTAGGGAAAAGCGGGAGTGGGCCAGCTGGGCGCTAGGCTGCACAGGGAAGCAAGGCCGAACACGCCAAATGCCAGGTAAGGAGAGGGAGGGAAAAAGAAATTCCTTTTTATTTTCTTAAACCCAATTTTCAAATCCAAATTCAATACCAACTTAAATCGTTTTGAAGTTCTAATCAAACCCAATCATCACAAAATAAATATGCAGCTGCATGTATGCACAAACATATTGCTACTCCTTATGATGAATTTTAATATAATGAAAAATATTATTTTTCCTATATTTCATGAGCACCAAAAATTCATAATTAATCATTTTAACTCTATCTTCAATATTGAAATTTTTAGGGTGTTATAATTTCTACCCTCTTAAGATGAATCTCGTCCTCGAGATTCGGAAAACGTCGACTAGGAGATAGGAATACTCTATCTTTGGATTCTTCTTTACTTTCTCGTGCAGTTCAATTGTCTTGATAAGGATCCCACTTTACTTTGCACACCTGTTAACCTTACTCCAAGTAACTTGTCAAACTGATTCCAAGATTTTGACAAATACTCTAAATAATACTTAGGTATCTCCAATCACTAGGCCACATTTCCTATAATACCAATTCTCTTTCTTGAAATATTCACCTTCGAACGGAGCATGTTCATTTTCTTGGTCAGAAAAAGATTCTACCACCAATCTTCAAAACATTAATGATTCCGGTTAAGTTGCTCGAACTTGAAATACAATTCTTAGTCCTTGGTGTCGTCCAAATCTTCTTAGCTAATCTTTCCTTTGCTAAGGGCATCGGCAATGACTTTTTCTTCCCTAGGTGATAGCACTTTTCCAAGTCATAATCTTGATCAATACCAAACCAACGATGATGTCATATGCTCAAAACCAACTTTGTGAAGATGTTCCTTAGATTCTTATGATCCTCATAGATGTCACTTATCATGCCCAAGTAGATAGTACCTTCATGCTCCACAATGGATAACTCCAGATCATACGTCAGATGTTTCATCTCATGTTTTCTTGCTTAAACCTCTATTTTTTCTTCTTACATAAGGATACATCCCACACCTTGATAAGGTGCATCATAGTAGATAAAAAAACTCTTGTCCTGATCTGGCAAAGCTAATACATAGGTTTTACCTCAACCTCTTTTTTTACCCCTTCAAATACTTAGCTGATGTCTTTTGATCTGAACTTAAAACCTTCTCCAGTAACACTATCAACATCTTGATGGTCTTGGATAAACCTCCTTTGAACCTCTAACCAAATCTAATTATTTAAAACTCTGACTTTCTCTCACATCTTTGAGTGGGTTTCAATCACATCACTAACTTTCTTGGTACCTTTCCCTATATTAACATATCCACGTAGAGAACTCACTTGTCAGGCTTGATGTCACATTGATGTTTTCTGAGCCCACGTATAACCAACTATAGATGTCCCATATCTCCTTCCAAAGGTTTTGATCCAGGGACCTATGGGTCATGGGCCCACCACGCTTCCGCTGCGCAAACTAGAACGTATGATACTTCATCTTGCAAATTCTTCAACTTAGCTACCCCCTTAAGAAAAGATCAGCTAGGGGACATAAAAAGGGTAGCTTACACCTCCTTCTAGATGAGCTAACTAGTATCAAGATGTCCTGATATCCCAATGATACTCTTGTGTATGGGCAGACAAGAAATCTGAAATTTCTCGCGGGATGAAAAACAGCAGCGCAGTAAACACAGCTGTAACTCTCATTCTGTTAATACAATGAAGTTGTAGCTTATACCATTAGAAAGCTTATCAAATCCTCCATAACTTCCTTATAGAACACTTTTCTAAATTTTGTAGTTTAGGTGGTCGAAAACAATGCACAACAAAAACTACTCTAGATTTTAGACAGAGCGGTTGCATCGTCTTGTGATTTTCATAACTCCATAACCAACATAGCTATCAAGGTGATTCTTGTGGTCAGAGAAAGATATTAAAGTCTAATATCGTCTAGAATTTTTCATGATTTCTGATCATCCAAAATCAGAGATATAAGCCGAAGAGTGCAGGCTGCTCCGAAAGGCAGGATAGAGAGAACAGGAGAGAACCAAAACCCGACTATTTATTTCATTAATCCTTATACCTTAGGCCTATAAACTAAATGAAATTATGGGGAAACCCCACAAGATCATTGCACTCATTACAAAGATCCAAAACAAGTATAACATAATGACAACCAATTAAACAATAAAGGTTCACACTTCAAACATTGACTCAATTAGCGATACTATCGTTTTCTCCATATTAAGGGCAAAGATCCTAAAGCTCCTCTTCCGATGACGCAAGAAGATGGTAAGAGAAGGTTCTAAAAGCATATCAAATCAAGGAGTGGAGATGAGAACAAAGACTTTAAAATAAGCACCAAGGTAGAGATGAATAGTAAGGGTAGAGATATAGTAGATAAGAAAATATCAAGGTTCATAGAGCAAGGGTTTTATAGCAACTTCTAAACCTTAGAACGGCCAGTTTCTACTAGGCTTATGTCCTACAATCAGCATTGCTCTGATACCACTTTATAGTACCCGGTTTTAAGGACAAAACCAGATACACACCATATGTGAGCTTAGAAAGTCAAATCTCACGTATAACTACAAATATAGGTAATATCAATAGACAAAGCTTAATATATAACATACTTAGTATAAAGGATATAACTTAGACAACAAACAGCGAAAAGACAACTTTGATTTTTGGGTGAAGACTCCAATCCCACAGGGACCACTGACTGGTTGATCACAAGCCTAATTCCTCCAACTCTAGCAATCTGGTACCCATCCGAGATTTTTATCCAAATAATTGAAAAATAAAGCAAGCGTAAGTACATGTCGTACTCAACAAATATAGCATGTGGTTCATGAGGCTCAAAAAACTGACACTGGTTCAACTGCGATTAGCTTTTAATTATCATATATTTAGCATAGGAGTAGTAACAAGTTTATCACAAGCCTATATAAACACATGATCAGGTAAACACGAATAATGAATAGCATAAACAATAATCATTAGTGTGTATCTTCATCATCGGTATCATCCGTGTTCTTCATCTATTCCGTAAGGGTCCAAGGCCGCTCGTGACCGTGAGCACGACTGATATATCAGTTTTACACTCTGCAGAGGTTGTACACTTTCACTGTGAGTCGTGATTTACCCTTTCGTTCGAGGTGGCCAACCTCTTGACCCACTACCAAGGAAGGTCGGCAGGGTTCACTATGAAGCCTTTCAAAGGTTCGTCTAACAAGTTAGGGCCGTTAAGGTTTCCCGATCAATAAGCATGAACGCCCCTCCAAAGAGTGACTAACAAAATACCAAGAAACCAAAGTGCACCCTCTTGGCAAGCCGATATCATACCTATCAGAGCCCCTCTTGCGCCATAAAGGTAACCACTAATAAGCTAGAAAAGGTCCTCATACTGAGCTAAAGTCAGAGCCATGTAGCCCTCACAGCTGTACTATAATTCCCAGATGTTCGCTTACAGATAAGTCCTTGGGGAGAGGAATCTAGAGCACCATAAAATAGTCCAATGCTCTAGCCTCCTTGTTCCATGTTGCTAAAAAGCATCTTTTAATATTTATTGCATATACCATTAGTCAAGTTATAAGATCATGGCTTTAGTTGAGCACTAGCATCATACTACCCAATGTAATAACCCATAGAAATTAAGGAATCCAGGATATCAATATAGCTAGGAAAATTACTACGGTTGCCAAGGTAGACACATGCATATGATTAAAATGATATTAAGGTGAATAGGACAACAAAGAAGATCCCATGCTATACTTGCCTTAAACTCTAATCCTTCTTCTAGTCCAAAGCTTCCAAGAAACTCCTTGATCAACACGTAAATCTCACCGACTAGACAGGATCATAAAGCACCACACAAGCATCTAAACAAACATGCATAGCATTCAAACATAGCTATATTAGAACAATACACCAATCATAGAAAACAATAAGTAAAAAGGTTTGAAAGCTAATCTGCTCGTTGCTACGAACACATAGACGTAAAAAGCACGCTAATCAAAGCTACGGTGAAAAAGATACAACTACCGATAGATTAAAAAGAAAACTATAGGCTTTATTTATTTTAATTATATAACATATATAAGATTCTCCAGAGTATTATCTAAATTGTATTAAGTCAAATTTAGATTTAAATATGAAAATCAGAGTAGAATAAATCATATTTTATTTATAATTCTAGTTGCATAGTTATTAATCAAGTTAGGATTTAAACCATAAAATTTCAGAGCTCTTGACATGGAAAACATTGATACTGATGCGTAGATTATGCCGTTACGAATCTAACGCAACTTGAACGAGTCAAATCGGAGTTAAAATGGAGAAGATATGGCCTAATGAAGATAGTGACAATTTTGTAAATAGTTGGAACTTGATTTTCAAAATTAAAATAAATAAAATCTGATTTTAAAGAAACCAGGGATGGCGGGTTCTATTTAAAGAAAAGGTAGGGGTCCTTTTGAAACAAACCAGGGATGGCGGGTTCAAACCTTAAAAAGTTTAGGGTCTCTTTAGCAAAACGAACGACGAAAGGGTACGTTCTAATCTGGGATGTTGATAGCGGATCGGATGGCTGAGATTAGATCAGAGGGGGAGAGAGAGTGCGATCACCGAGGAAGGAAGCCGACGGCGGCGGCGGCCATGAACGGCGGTGAGAAGCTTCGCCAATGAACCCGATTTCGGCGTTCCGGCCACCACCGAACACAGGAGGACCATGGGAAGCAAGAGAAGCTCGGGGCGAGCTCGATGGAGGGTTCGGAGGGAGCTACGACGGCGCGGTGGCAAAGCTATGCTCGTTATGGCAGATCGGCTCGTCGACAAAACTTCGGCGAGGCGGAGAGAGAGATAGAGGGCGAGAGAGAGAGCGTTCACGGCACCAACAGATCTCTTACCTCTCGTATATGCTCGGCGACGCGGTCGCAGTGGCGGAGAGACGGTGGAACGGCGAGTCCCACGGTGGCGGATCTCCGGTGGCGTGCGGCGTATGGAGCTGCGGCTCAAGGTGAGGCGATGGCTCGTGTCAAGGGTTCGGGGAAGGTGGCGGGGCACTGGGCTGCTATTTATGGCCTGGGGAGCCTTGGGCTACACGACAAAGAGGAGGCAGGGCGGACGCTGACTCTGTACCGACGATGGAGTCCGATGCGGACGGGAGGAAGGAGACGGCGCGAGGTGGGAGACGTCCGACAGGTGGGTCCCGTCAGACAGAGAGAGGGAGAAAAGGGGAAAGAGTGGAGGCGCGGGGCCGCTGGGCCGGGCGGTGTGCGGAGTTGGGCCGGCCTACGAAAGAAGGGGAAAGGAGCGGATGGGCCGCCGGGAGTGGGGCCCAGGCGATGTAAGCTGCTCTTGGCTTCATGAGAGAAGAGGAGGAAAAGCGGGGAGTGGGCCGGTGGCCATTTGGGTTGCACGGGGAAGCAAGGCCGAACGGGCCAAATGCCAGGTAAGGAGAGGGAGGAAAAATTTCCTTTTATTTTCTTAAACCCAAGTTTCAAATCCAAATTCAATACCAACTTAAATCCTTTTGAAGTTCTGATCAAACCCAATCATCACAAAATAAATATGCAGCTGCATATATGCACAAACATGTTGCTACTCCTTATGATGAATTTTAATATAATGAAAAATATTCTTTTTCCTATATTTCATGAGCACCAAAAATTCATAATTAATCATTTTAACTCTATTTTCAATATTGAAATTTTTAGGGTATTACAGAGAGGAGAAAAGAGTTAAAGGTGGAGAGAAATTAACCGCCGCCAATGTTTACATTACGCGGATGGAACGGTTCTGAATCGCTTTTCTAGACCCATCGGTTAGGTCTGCAGCCTGGAGCTGCTCTAAAACTTCTCCCTATTTATTTATATGAAAATAATCTATATAATCCATGACGTTTAGCAATGTGTCTACTTTACCTTTGATCTACAAAGTTAGGTATTCTACCTCATCACCTATCAAAACTGTTTGATTATATCATTATATGAAAGGGAACACATGGAGAGAGTTCACATGGGTGTCGAAACCCGGGAGATATGGTAATTCTAAGGTACTTAATTTGTGCATACAAAAAAGTAATATTTGTGAGTTGCTCGACAACAACCAATATAAAAAGATATATAAGTTGTTTTACAGTTCTAAATTTTAGTTTATGAGCCGGTTGCCTCGCGGAACAACAACCTTTTTTTTTCTTACCTCCCTCCCTCTTCTTCATGTCATCAAAAATTCAATGTGGCACACATGAGATGATCTATAAGACTGCTTATGTGTATCCATATACTTGCCCTAAGCAGAATAGTAAGAAAGGAAACAATGCAACAAAGGGCTTGTTTAGGACTGTGGCGTCACGACCGCGCAGGGTGCGGTATGACGACCGTTGGTTCAATCTCGCGTTGAGTACCCCAAGGATGTTTGGCGGGATTTTCTCACTTGTCGCAGTCAGCAGATTTAATTTAATCAGAAATAAACAAGCCCAAAGCTGTTCCATCCATCCAAAAAATTCAGGATATGAACCTACAGTATTTTGCAGCAGCCAACTCCGAGAGGAAAATAGAGGATATAAACCACGCTCATATTTAATCGCGGAAATGAACCTTTTGTTTAAAAAAAAATCTAATAGCGAAAATGGCGTTGTATAGGTGGAACGTTTTTGAAAAGATAAAAACGACATCCATCAACGGAGAAGCGAGAAACCCATGGATATCGTATCGCCATCCTCCGTCAATCACTCAACGGTCGGCTCCTTCATTTCAGTACTATACTATATATACGTTACGCACTCATACCATCCTCCGTCAATCACCCAACAGTCCGGCTCTTCCTCCTCTCCATCTGCATTTCGAATCTGAAACCCCAATTCCTGATATAATCGCAGTGAACAGACAAGGCATTCGAGCTTAAGGATAGCGGCGGCAATGGGGATCGACCAGCTCATCAAAGCATGTTCCTTTCTCTTCCCAATTAAATCCCCTGCCATCGACTTGTTTATCATCAAGTGCATTCATTTATTGAGTTCAAAAAAAGAGTGCATTCATTTATTATCGCATATTAATTAAACTCGTTGACGATCTTGGGTTGGTTCTTTAATTTATTTACTGCGATTTCTCCGGGTTTTCTTGAATCGACTCGTAATAATGCAGCATTTGTTTTATTCTTGCTATTAATTCGATGATCTGAATATACCCAATCCGTTGCTCTGCTTCTGCTTGTTTCTCTCTGAAACCAGGGGAAAAGGGGGAGGCCCGCTGGTTCCCGATCCACCAACGCCAAGATGGAGGAGAAGATGGAATTGATCAAGTGGAGGACGGACTTGCTGGACAGCGGCGCCGGCAGTAGCAAGAGTGACAAGGATGATGATGCCATACCAATGGTGAGGCCGCGAGGCCATTTCTCTTAAAACATTCTGATTCAGAGTAGTACCATCACGCTGAACATAAAAATGTGTTGCCGTTTTCGTGGCTCTAGAATAACTAAAGTTACACGATTGCAGGATGATGAGCTTGCTATTGTTGTTGCTAACGAACCTGCAGCATTAGCAATTCATTGTGGTGATACAGACGATGATGACGGGGAGGTTATTCCTATAGAAGTAAGTGTACTGCCACTTTATTTCTTCTGTGCACAGTGTCAATCTTATAGAAGTATATACACTAGATTTGCAGTTCGTCTTTACACTATATTGATATTGAATAATCATGATATCATTGTGCCATTGGTCATAGCATTGTCATTGTTATGGGTGTTGGGCTCAGGACGGCCCAGCCTCGGCTGGCATGAACAGTACCCGCGGTAATGTAGCTTGGCCTATAGCGCCCTTACTAAGGACTAAGGAAGGAATAAGGATTAGGAAAGAGATTAGATTAGATCAATTAGAGGGATTTGATCGGTTAGGGATAGGGTTAGATTTGGATTAATTAGAGATACGATTGGATATGATTTGATTGGGCCTTCTTGAGTGGCTAGGAGTCCTCTCTATATATAGAGAGGTGATGTACCAAGAAGGAAAGCAATGAAGAAAGAACAAACAATCCAATTCTCTTAAATACTCTAGTCTCCCTCCCTGCCGATTTTGTCCAGCCATCTTCCTGGCAATGGTTATCCCCAAATGATCCAAGGATCATAACATCTGGTATTAGCTTGCTTTGGTTTTGATCCATTCCCATGGCTTCTGCTGTGGACGCCTTACGCACACTTGCCGAGGGGCATCGTCACATGTCTGAGCAACTCTAGTCATATGTCCGCAACGTTGGATCGCATAATGACGTTGCTCGAGGCGAAGGAGGAACGTGAATGCCTGGCGGCAGTACACCAACAGGCAGCAGCACGTGGACTCATGTGCAATTCTTCATAGTATTACTAAGGTTAATGTATTAAATGACCAGCAAAGAACACTATATCTGAAATCAATATTTTTATGTCTTTGCTAAATTGTGATATTGTTCTAAACTTATTGCTCTAACCTTTCTGATCTTTGAATATTCTCATCGTTGAAGATTGTGAGGCCAAGAAGAGTGGGGCCTAAGAAAAGAAAGCTTCCTGGTGTTCCTCAGACACAAGTAAAGATCTATTATCCAGCTCCATATTTATATCAGTTCATTTGACACAAAGCTATATATAGAATAGAAGCACTGAAAAGAGCTCTCAGTTTTTCATTTATAAGATCATAACAGGATTTACTATAAAATGGACACTTTATAATTTTGTGGGCTGACTCAGATTTCCTTAATTGGATTTGAAACTCAGAACAGAATACCCGAGAACATATAGTTTGAGTGGATTTTGTTTTTTCACTTTATATCAGAAACTTCTCTGTTTTTTTTTTTCAAATTTGATTTTTCTTGTCTTTCCATTAGTACTAGGCTGAAGGGTTGAACTAACCATGAACAAATTGTGACCTTACAGGGATATGATGCTAATGGCCATCACATAAGTGTAAGGTAATTCTAGTCTTGCTTTATTTTTATATTGTCGTGAGTAAACTGTACCTGAAGTTCGCAACCCTTATGCACTTATTAAATAGTTGTAGTGTTGATGAAAATAGGGAATCTGCTATGGCTAGAGCTGAGGAGATACAGTCAAATTTACCAGCAGAACATCCTAGCTTCATCAAGCATATGCTAAGATCCCACGTCGTGAAGGGTTTTTGGCTGGTAAGCTGATACTTGTTATGTTTGCCCAATGCTGAAGAAAATATCTGCTTCTTACGGAAAACATGTTTGAACGAATAGAGAATGCGAGGAAACACTATATTTTTATCAGAACATAAAATTAGCAGAAAAATGCTCGCCCTCCCCAAAGTGAAAACTATTCGTCTTAGAGGCACAATGAAGGCTTGGAAAGGTTCAATTCCATAGTCACAGGGCAATTTTCCCCATGTTCCTGGGACCTGAACAAATCATTGTTGCATTCATTCATGAAAATTAAGCTTAGGGTGAGTATAGAAGATCTAGGAAATAAATAATGTGCAAGCTAATGGCATTTCTTGTTTATATTACAGTTTGACACTTCATTGAAAGATTCCATGTTATTAAATAAAATAGTCAACCACTAATTCAGTACAAGGCACCTGAGGATATCAGTATCTCTTTTGCTTCTTTGTATTTGACTTTTGTGTTCCTCTTTTAGGGTTTGCCAAAACACTTTTGTGACAAGCATCTTCCGAATAGAGATGTCGTAATTGTGCTAGAAGATGAGAATGGAGAGGACCATGACACGACTTACCTTGGATACAAGCAGGGACTCAGCGCTGGGTGGAGAGGTTTCGCAATTGATCATGGTATTAAGGTTGGAGATGTTGTGGTTTTTGAGCTTGTGAAGTCGACGAAATTCAAGGCAAGTTTTTTTTTTCAATAAACTGGTACGAGACTGCCAGTTCGATTTAAATTTTAACAGAGAAGAATTTAGTAACAAGGAAAGATTTTTCCCAATGTGCATTGTGCTGTGGATTGCTTATTCTTTGCATTCATAATATGTTGACAGGGTACACATTTGTTGGACTGTTTCATCTGTGCACTACAAATCCAGTCACTGAATGTTCACTCCTGACTATGCCTTTTTCCATTCAGGTATACATTGTCAGAGCAAATGGATTTAAAACAGCAGATGCAGATCCCAATCTGCTGAATTTGGAAGCGCGCAAGAAAGGTAAGTAAGTTGTTGCTAATTTTGCAATTAAGAATCTATCACACATGGACATATATAGACCAACTACTGAATCTATATGAAATAGGAGAACAAAGCTGTGAAGATGTCATAACTGAGGAGGACACCACAAACAATAATCGCGAAGTGCCTCCAAGTGATGGCAGCAGCAGGAATGGCATCGCGATTTCAGATTCAGAGATCGATTTCGATGACGTGACAAGTTTCAGCGACGTCAACGTCATCCTGGACTGCCTGGCCACCGACTGCGAATTCCATGTTCGCCTACGCAGGACGTACTACGAGCTCTGCTGCTCCCAGAAGTCGCTTCTTCACAAGCACCTGCTCAAGCAGCTGCATCCCACCCTCGTTGCGGGAGTGATCATGGAGACGGTCAGCATCGCCGACGGTATCAGGGCCTGCAAAGCGGAAGCCTCTTCCCGCGAGGACTTCCTGGTCTGGAAGAAGACGCTGGAGGCCTTTGAGCTCCTGGGCGTGAACGTTGCGTTCTTGCTCAATCGTGTCAATGGTCTTCTTGGTGTTGCTTCTCGGTCGAGAGAATCCTATGCAGAGTGGCAGGATAAGTACGAGGAATTGAAACTGGAGCGGGCTCGTGCCGGGGACAAAATGAAGGCTCTTGAGCTTCAGCTGTCGACTGTGAAGGATGTGCTGCAAAAAGTGGATTCAGAGATGGAGGAGCTGCAGTCCAGCTTGAAGAAAAGCGATGAAGAGCTTCAGGAGCTCGCCTCTGCGCCATGGTGATTCTCATTGTGAAAGTTGCCACGGACAACATTTTGGGCCATTGCATCATGTTTAATGATGCTGAGGTTGCTAGTCAGGAGTTATTGGTTAGTAACGGACTTCTTTTCCAGTAGTAACGGATTACACTCTTCTGGTAGTGTAATCCACAACCTTTGTTGTAATTCCTGCATCATGTGCTTTGCTCTCAACTGAAAAAGAGGGTGGTGGTAATTGTCTGCAGGTAAATGATATTTTGTACGAGGTGCCCGAGACGAAACAAATTAGGGCCTGTTTGGACGACATAGTTTTAGAAAACTATGGTACAATGAAAATGTGGTTTTATAAGTCAAAAGACACAAAACTATGGATTGGAAACAATAGATCATGATTGGAGTTTCTAAAACTAAAAAAACTATAGTTTTGATAAAAGATGACAATTTTAGAAACTACAAGAATTCTCATATCCAAACACTCAACAGCTTTTGCAAATCACAGTATTTTGCAAAGTATCTATCAATACTTTAAAATACTTTGCATCTGAACGAGGCTATTCAAGTTAGCTAAACGCAAGTACTTAGTAAAGCTCATTCATCATTTGTAGTTCTTCTTGACCATCTTAATTATTAGCTTGCATTAGGATAGTATTGACAAAGAAGTTTATCTACATTCTATTTCACTTAGAAAAGAATTTAATTGTGGGAATCGCCTGGTTCACTTAACTGATGTTATGCTTAATTGTTTGGCTTTTTGGGCTAATTTTTACATTGTTCCAGAGGGACATAGGTAGTCGAAAGAGCCAGACGCAACAGAATCACACACCTGAAAAACATCACGTCCATCACGTCTGCTGCTTCGCCTAGTGTATGTGGGCCTCGTTCCTCGTCGTCTTCGGCACATGTCGAAATACAGGCGACGTGGTATCCGGTCCCATATATCGACAAGTTCTATGGCCCCGTTCGCTGGTCCGAAACTTGGCGGAAACTGACTGCAAAACACTGTTTCCGGCTGAATTGCTGTGAGATGAAAACACTGTTCCGGCTGAAAAAAGAAGCCGAACAAGCTGAATATGTAGTAAGCCGAACAGGGCCTATATTAGAGACGGTAAGGCTTCCTTTGGGAGCAAGGGAAGGCATGCCCAGGGTAGGACTGCCCCGGCAGGGATTTTGGTGGACCAACCAGTCCCGGCTATTTCCCTCCCCTGTCCCCTGTTGCTCTTTGGTTTCCCTCCCCTGTCCCGATCCTTCCTACTGCGGATGTGCTGAGAGAAAAGAGCGATAGCAGCGGAGGTGCTCGCTTGGCTACGCGATGCGAGATGCTGAGTCGCGAGCGCAGCGCTTGCTCGCACGGCGAGGCAGGGGAGCGACGCCCGGACATCCAAGGTCGGGGAGCAGCGCCCAGGGAAACGTCCGGGGTTGGGGCAGCGACGGCCCCTCGCGTGCGCTTCCAAACGTTGGGGCTGAATCTCCCGTGCCTGAATTCCGCATGGGGGGTACGCCCAGGAAAAAGGCCGGGTTGTCCCCGTGGTTTGGGATTCCCAAACGAGGCCTAAGGGACGGTAACGCCTAAAAGGGAGAGTGAATTAGGCAACTTAAATATTTACTCTAAACTATGGTCTATAATTTCACCTAGTCAAAACCTATGCAGGAAAGTAATATATCTAAATGTGCAACTACGATTTTGTTAGGTGTGTTGCTATCTCTACCGCAAAAGAATGATGTAACCTAGGTTCCAATCCTATCAACTAGCCTATCAACTAAGCTAGGGAAGTAAAGCACACAACTAAGGTAGCAATGTAAATGCGGAAGGTAAAGATGAGGTAGAGGTGCAAACTCCCGTCGATGACTCCGGTATTTTTATCGAGGTATCGAGAAGCGCTCAAGCTTCCCGTTGTCCTCGTTGGAGCCCCTCGCAAGGAATTCCTCAAAAGGGCCAAGCTCCCGGTCGGGTAAGTCCGTGGATAGCCCTAGGCCTTCCCCACGTGTAAGTGGGTCTCCGGTGTGCCTTCCGACAAGCCTCTCCCGGACTGCTCCCCACCGTCTTCACTATCAAGCTTCCGGTCAAACCGCTGCGGGCCTTGTTCCCTTCGATACACGGTGACGATCACACCACAAACGCGGTTAGTATGATCTCGCAAGACTACAAGCCCCTCCGATGTACAACAATGGTGCGCGCAAGCACCGAGTGCTAAAAGGTGTGCAAACCTCACTAAACACTAAGCCTAAACCTAGTGCAAACGCATAAGCGGTGGTCTAATCAACCTAAGCACTTAGCAAAGTACTTACGCTAATCACCTAATGAATCACTAAACACTATACAAATAGAGATCACTAAAATAGTGTATCAACATCCTTGATATGTTTCCTCAGCTCTCTTGCTCTCAAATGGCCGGTTGGAGGCATATTTATAGCCCCAAATGAGAGAACAAGCCATTGGAATCAAAACCAATGTTTCTGCTAGTGACCGGACCCTGCTGTCGTCCTGACCAGACGCGTCCGGTCTTGCCGACCATTGGAGCGCGCGCGTTGATCGAACTTTGGGTCGAGTCCAGTCTCACTCGTTCGGACGCGTTCGGTCGCGCTGGCGCCGCTCTGGAACCTTTCTGGACATGATCGGACGCTACTTCTTGGTGCGTCCGGTCATCCTGCCGTCGCGTCCGGTCACGCTGAAAACATTGCCGTGACAAAGAACAGTGTCATATGTGCGTCCGGTCACTGCTTCGCTCAGCGTCCGGTCACAGCTACTGACGCCTACTATTACCGAGCAACTGATCGGACGCATCCGGTTACATCTATCGAGCTTGTTTCTTCGCGATCTTGCGTCCGGCTTGGTTCCCATCTTCGTGCTTGGACTATGCTTGATATCTTGGGCCTTCTCTTATAGTGTTGATTGTGGGATCATCATGTTGCCTTCGTCTAAGTCACGTCTTACACCCTATTAAACTACAAAATAATTACTTATAAATTTATTAGTCCAATTTAGTTATGTTGGTTACCAAACACCAAAATCCAAAATAAATGGACCTAGAGTCCATTTTTCTTCCTAAGAGACTAAGATAAAAAAGAGAAGAAAAGAGATTGTTCATCTTTAACAAAGTCTCGTGTGTACAGTAATATTGTAAACACACGCTCAAAGTATTGTTTCTCGGGTAATTAACACATGTTTATATTACATTCTCATGGTATTATTTTTTCGTTGCAACGCACAGACATTTTCCTAATGTCTATTGTAGTAAAAATTATGTATGAAAAGGTTAGAACAACTTGTAATTTAGAACAGTAAATAATACTATTGTCTAATCCCACTCTCACTGTGGAAGTAGCCAATAGAGAAGAGTACCTCCTTTGTCCATAAAAGAACATAATTATAACATAATATAAAGTTTCATCATATTAAATTTGACTAAATATATATAAAATATCAATATTTATGATAGCAAATAAGTAACACTAGAGATATATATTTTTACAGTATACCCTCTCTGTCCCAAAATAGAAGTTATTCTTGCTTTCCGAGAAGTCAAATTTTTTAAACTTTAATCAATTATATATAAAAGAATATTAATATTTATAATACATAATTAGTATAATTAGATAGATCGTTGAATGTACTTTCATAATAAACTTATTTAGATATATAAATGTTACACGTATTTTCTATAAATCTAGTTAAAGTTGAGAAAGTTTGACATGCACGCATTCCATAACGTCATCTATTCTTGGATGGAGGGAGACTCATTTAATGCCATAAACATTGATATTATTTTTTGTATATTTGATTAAACTTTGGGTCTAAAAATTAAGAATAGAATTGTATTTTTTTAGATCCGAGAAACAGCGACAGGTCAATCCCATCCTGGAAGATGCATCGAATATGCCGTGTGCGTCACATAAGTACTCTACCGGAGGTCGTTTTTTCCTTTGGAAAATCATTTCACAGGGAAAGGGAATGACAATTGACAACAGGACCGGTGTTAGAGCATTTTCAAAAGTACCTTATTTTTTTAGTAAAATGAGAAAAAACTCTTCTCCAACAACTCCTAATCTATGCTTCTAAAATTTACGTACTTGAAAATCCTCCCCCATCGCGCATAACTTTACGCGTAGTCACGGTTGCGTGGATACTCCTTTCCCGTGCGTATCGGTCGATCAATCTAAAAGTGAAAGAGTGTGGAAAAGAATAAAGAGTAGGAAATGGTTTCTGATGCAAATGTACTAGAGAAAAAGAATATATAAAAGTAGTTATGATAATATAGGAATAAAATCTGATTCCTGATATAAAATTGTCTTCTATATTTTAGAAGCGGATTATTGAAAACTGTTAGAGATGATTTTTTTTCTCCCAATACCCTCAGGAGTTGTAAATCTACGTGTTTTTTAGAGAAAAAATAGGATACTGTTCGAGATGCTCGTGGCTCTGTTTCCAACCGATCAAAATCCCTTTCCGACCTCCAACTCTGCGCCGCAATCCCAGAAGCTAGAGCAACTCCGTCACCAGATTGAGAAACTTGACCCTCCACGCGTGCTATCGGATTTGGATATCCTCCGGCGAGGTATGAGACAGGAGGCGGCAACCAGCAAAGTGGTGAAACAGGAGGACGCCCTGCACCACCGCAAGGAGCCGCCCCCCTGCCGCCAGGACGATCCGCCAGCACTGGCTGCGTCGCTGTCATCGCCGTCGTCACTGTCAGAGGACGATGGCGACGCCATGCCGCAGCCATCTACTTCATACGCGGTCTTGCTGCGCCGGGAGGGCGAGCCGGCGTCCGCGGCAGCGGGGGAGGAGCTGCTGCTGGTACCACCGCTCAACTTCGCCATGGTGGACCACGGCGTGTACCGCTCCGGATTCCCGGACGTCTCCAACCTTCCGTTCCTTGAGGCCCTCAGACTCTGCTCCGTCCTGTGAGTGTCGCCCCCAATCTACCGACCGCCGGCCTATTGAACCAACCATTCTTGATTGGTTCTTGAATGCGCTTGCGTCCCACGTGTCTGTGCCCGGAGCCGTATCCGGAGGCTAACCTGGAGTTCCTCGCCCACGGGATCAAGCTCTTCCAGTTCGGAATCGACGGCTCCAAGGTGAAGAAAACTCTACTGCTAATAGCACTACTCATTCTCTTTCTGATTAAGTGCACTCTCGTTTCGATTGGTATACTTGCTTGGATCGTCGGATATCTTGGATTAGTTCTATTGTTATTTGTTATTTGGAAATTACTCCCTCAGTCCCAAAATACAAAACGTTCTCGTCTCCTGAGAAGTCAATATGTTTTTTTAACTTTGACCGATTATATATAATAGAATATTAATATTTATAATATACAATTAGTATCATTAGATAGATCGTTGAATATACTTTCATAATAAATTTATTTGAAGACATAAATGTTAATACGGCTATGTGTTTACAGAAAATAGTGTGTTTTAGATTTATCTTGCTCTCACATGTTTAATTGTGATTAAAACTTGATTTGCTTGCCATAATTAAATTATACCACTTTAGCATGTCATCTTCTAGTAGCTATGTTTTGTTATCATCTTCCATCCATAAAAATCTCAGGTCCAAACTACGTGTTTGACACATCACTTAAAAATTAATATATAGGTTTATATAATTATAAAGGTTAAATGAAAGCTTATTTGGAAATAAACATAGGAATATTCTTGTGATGCTTTTGTTGCATGTTGGTATGAGTTAAATATGGTGTGGTCATATTCATAATGGTGGGAGGTGTGTAAATAGCTTATGAGTATGCTCTTTAAATAAAACTAGCAATGCATACTTTGTTTGCGTGATGAACACCATGTGAACCCTATTTATATAAGAATGTATTAGGGTGCTTTTCCTATTAACCATGACTAATGTTGAGTAACCATGTTAATAGTAGTTTCTGATCCATGTGATGAGTTGTACATGCATGATCTTGTTAAAGAATCAAGTAAAGCATCACTTTGCTTATATGCTGAAAATAGCTGCATGTATAGTTATGTGGTTGTGATATTTTTGTGATGCAAATGATGTTTTCTGTACATGTGGTGAATACCAAAGTTGTAGATAATTTTCTTATATTGCTTATCCTAAAAGTTCATAATTTTAGTCCTGATGGTTTAGGAGTTATATATTTTAAAAGTTTGCTGTTAGGTTTTGCATGTCCTCTGAACAGATCTGGATGATTGTATTGTTTGGCTTATTTAAACATAGAATCATGTATTGGTGATAATAGAAGAGTTGTAGTACTTTTGTTAAGCTTTCCAAAATGTCTAAGAGCACTACTTTTACTAGTTTAGAACTCCGGTTATAGCTGTTCAAAGTGAAATGGCAGGTTATGTCCAAAACTGGATAGAGATGTCTTCATTGGGTTGTTTAGCCTTGTCAGCTGTAGAATCATCTTAAGATGATAATAATAAAGTTATAAACAACTTAATAAGATTTTCATAAAGTTAAGAATCATGTCTGTTGGTGATTAGAACTCCAGTTATGCATTTCTGAAGTTCATGTCAGTTTTCTGTCCTATTTTGTGCAGATTGATTGTTAGTGTTTTTCAACCTTATTAACTTTTGAATCAGCTCTAGGTGTAAATAACAAAGTTGTAGACAACTTCCTAAGATTTTCAGAAAGTCTAGGATCACCTTTGTTTGATGCCTATAACTGCAGTTATGGTTAAAACAAGTGCCTTATGTGTTACTGTCCAGAATTCTGGGCATGTGCTAAGTAAATTGCTTTAGCTTATCTTGTTTGACTAAACATATTTAGTTAGTTCTTGATTGATAAATGCTTGTAATGTCTAAACTTAAGTTAACTTGTGTGCCATATTTGATATGCTTGCTATCTTTCTATAATAGATTGTGTGATGTTTAGTTAAACAACTCTAGGTGCTTATAGTTTTTTGGTGTCACCTTGTACTTATCTTAAATGCTTGTATGTGATGCATCTCATGTTACCATTCTTCGCATTCATGTACTTGCATCTTGCATCTTATTTAGATACGCTAGATGAACCACGCGGGGAACCGAAGGACGTGATGTTGGAGCCAAACCCAAAGATGGTGTTTGGTGGACCTATCCTGAAGATGAAAGGATCCCTAGAGTGCATGCCTAGAGTGGAGATATTCCCCAAGACGGTGCAAGCTAACTGAACTGACTTTATGTTGGATTCCAGGCAAGCCTCGGAGCATTCTAAGTCTCATACCCTCTCTTTTTACAAATGCACATAAGTATAACTTTTGTATGCTGCATTAGGTGATAGGAGTTGAATGAAACCGTTAGTGCATAATTCCTACCTTGTCCACTATATATAAATACCTGAACCCTTACTAGTATGAGTAGGACGTTCTATGCTTAGCCATGCTTAGACCGGTAGAAGTGGGTGATTTCCTGTCACCTGCAATATAGGTGCATACCTGGTCACTGTTGACTATATTTGCTATCGTGGAAAATAACCATGTGATGATGAATAAATGGAGACCGAACAGGATCTGGTGATTGAGAGGCAGCAGGACATGGAGGTCTTGTATGCATGTTTTATCCTGTCTGTGTCGGTTAAGGACCTCATCGTTGTGGGCCCTCGTGTCATTTGAACGTAGCCTCTCACTTAGCTAGCCAGATAACTCGTTCCGACCGCGAAGCCGAGTAGCTCAACTTAGGCCAGGCCTCATTCTGTACGAGTGTGCACACTGGAGGTAGTAAGGATGTGTGGAGAGCCAGATGTGAGCCCAAGGGTAGGCTGAGCCTGATCGTCCTGGCAGCTGGTTAGTCCCTGAGTGTGTGGCCCTGATCGATTCGAATCGCCGTCTCTCGACCTGAGTTGTACCAAAGGTGACCTGACATGACCTTGACGGGGGAAGTGTGGGTTTGTGTTAGGATTTCTGCCCAGCTGGTTGCAATCGATTTGAATCACCATCTCTCCTAGATAGTGAGAAACTTGACTGAGCCCCCTCATCGTAGTAACACTGAATGGAACATGATGGCTATGATGATTATATGATAGCCTGGATATGGTTACTAATGTTTGCTTTAGCTTAATCAAGTGATTGCTCTAGAATAGGTGCAAAGTTAGCCATAATAAGATTCACTAAACTTGATGCTAAAATATCGACTAAAAGATTGAAAATAAGGACTCATGATAGTAATGCTCTTTTTGCAAAGTTATGCTATCCAACCAGCTCCACGAAATAAGCCTTACATATCCTTGAGAGTCTTTTTATTTCTCTTCTGACGGGTAAGTCTAGCTGAGTACATTCGAGTACTCAGGGTTTATCCCACCATGTTGCAGGTGAAGTTCTCGGCCTACTGAAGATGGTGGCTAACTGTCGGTGGGCTCGGTGACTCTATATTTATTTCTCATCTATATGCTATTGTTGGGGGATGTTACTTATGCTAGCAGTGTATTTGAAACTTATGTTATTGTAACCATTTTAAAGCTATGTTGTTTTAACTATCATATTTGTAAACTTGGCAACGTATTATTATTTGTGAACTCAATTGTAAACATTATTTCCGCTGCAACTCCATGTATGTGATGTGTATTTGCTTAATCTATTACGGTCTTGGTTGTGATGTTGATTTACCGAGGTCCTTCGTGACACTCGGCGGACTACCGAGTTTGTACAAGTGAAAGTATGTGTGCATCAACGTGTTAAACGGGGACAGTCGTACTTGATCTTGTATAAATTGGGCGATTCCGTCGCGGATGATGCCTAAACGGGCCGCACCACACCGCTGCCCCCCGAGCCCAGGTTCTACCAAGTGCTTCTCATTTTAGGGTTTAGGGTTTTGTTCTTCATATTTGTGGCAGAATCTCCTAAATTATAGGGCCCACATGCACCTGTCACTGTCCAACGACCTTTGACATCTATGCATACGTTTCCGGTAACTTAAGAAGACTGTCGGGTGTCCTCGGGGAACCCCGAATCATCCACGATTTCTGAGCAGGATCACATTACAGAGTCATTGCAGTATTACAACAGTTTATTTAAATAGATACAACAGAGTAAAAACAATAGAAGTCTTACAATAACATAGTTTACAAACCATTTGTTTCAAACCATACAACTAAGTTCGATATTAATGCAAACCAAAGTAGTGGAGTGGCATTATAATATATTACAAAACACACAACTTAAGCTGCCCTGCCCAAGGGCCACACATTTAATTATCGTCATCGCACTGAACAACAGTCATGCAGCACGATCCAAAACAGATCTGCTCATGAGCCTCACCTGCAACAAGGGTCAACGAACCCTGAGTACAAAAGTACTCAACAAGACTTAACCGAAATAAGAATTTAAAAGAACGCAGGAATGCAGGCTCATGGGATTCAAGGTATGGCTTTAGCAATAATCAAGGTTCTTTTGCGTAAAAGCATTTTAACAAAATTCTTTATATCAACGTTTAAAACTTCATAAAGATCATATACAAAGCTGACACGATCCGTATTGAGATCATGAAACTTCGTATCCAACACTTTCTCATACCATCCTCAGGTTCCAGTTATTAATTACTACGATGATGAACAGTGAGTTGAGTCTCCATAACCGAGGAGCAACGACGATTCGAACCGATTATAACCCAGCTAGGAATTCCAGACCACACGACATATGTAGGTCCCTGACCTACATATACCAACCTACCCTCGGATCCTCTAAAACAAGAATGGGTCCGCGCCACCCGAGAATACAGTACTCCACCAATCCAGCCCATTGCCACGTGGGTACACGCTATTCCCGCCATCTCTCCACTCCCAGTGCGCGAGTAGCCATTCTCGTAATAGAATAGCCAAGTTAAGGCTTACCGAAGTATGTGGTTAGTACTACAAAGTCTCATCTCATGCAATTCAACAACGGACGGACCTTAATCGACACAGGCGGAAAGAACCTGCTCACAAGACCTCCATGTCTTGTGGCTCACACACAC